TGTTTGTCTTCCTCTCATAGTTTGTGATCTAATTGAAGATCGTGATATTGCACTTTTATGCATAATATAAACGGAATCTGCCAAAGTATCTTATTGTAGGAAATATTTACAAAGTAGCAGTAAATATGTTAGACATACACACGATATTAACTGTTGTTTAGTACTTATACCTACAATTGTATTAATAAATCTCAAAATACTCTAAATGATTAATTTATATCTAGGATGGGGTGGAATGAAATTATTATAATTCCCTTGGGTTCCAAGAGGAACATAGGGCTTCAACTGCACATCTACACTTGCTTCTGTCTTCCTTCTGCTGTACTCTTCACCTGCATCCATGTTAGTTAGTCCACACTGTTTCAACTCCTATTCACACGATCTCCTCCATCTCACCCACTCTCGCACTGACGTCCCACTCGCCGCTTCCCTTTCGGCCTGGTTCCACTCGAGCGATGGCCTGACGCGCTCGCGATGTCAACCAACGGCGGCCTCCTCAACGAGCGAGTGTCCAATCCACTTTCTCCTGCATATTTGTTGGTTGGCGATTGGTTCTTGTTTTGTTTGTTTGTTCCCAGCCATAGTTTCTTGTTGGTGATCCTTTCCGACCCGGCCCGGCCATCTGATCTTCAGTATAGAGCCAGCGAAGACAGTTGTTGGTTGATAAAGGTCTGGTCTGCAACAGGCTGTTGGAAATATTCTTTGTGACCCGCCCGCCGAGTTTCTCATCCGTATAGAAGAACTGACTGACTTGACGTTGTTTGAATTGAAAATCCGACCGAATTTTGTTGTTGATGCTGGCTGAGTGACGAAGATTTCGAGATTGGTTTCAGGTTGATGAATGTGTTTCTCGCCTGCCTTCCCGATTCTCGCTCGCTTTGACATCCTCGTCCGTTCCGACTACCTGTAGTTGAGACAATGCTTCCTAGATAAGTGAATGAAGTGACCTCTTTCAAATCCCTCCCGTTGATGGTGATTGAAATGAAATTAGGTGTGAAGAAATTGTTTATAAAGCCAAATTTATCGGAATTATACTTTCAGAAGGTCGATCACCTAAGTTTCTTTAAGAAATGTAAACAAATTATGTGTCGTTAAAATCGTACAATAAATTTAATCAATTAGTCTGATGGTCATCTAGATTGCAACCAGTTATAATTAAGTTGAAGATATATTTAGAGTTCCCCTTATCATTTTGTTGGCTTAAGATGATTATGGCCAGCAAGTTTAAATTTTAAGGGGATAGCAAGATACAAACTACTGATGATTGGAATAGATAATGTATGTTCTTTTAGGGTGGGGTAGATTAGTAAACACTATTTACACAAAGCATTGAGATCAGAACTCTTGTTCTGTAAACATAAACTACCACTATGAGATATCTGTGAGACTGAAATTTGGTCAATTACTAATTACCTACTGAGGCAGTGACTACAACTCAATATAAGAGTTTATTTGGGTGCAGCACACAGTGATAAAGTAATAATGACTGGGTGATGTTTCGAACACAACTTATTGCTCATAATCATATCAATTTATTCACATAGTTTCATAATTTGCTTGATACATTTTTCTCTCTTCCTCCGTGTTGTTTAGTGCAATTTTCTAGAGACGTTGCGTCATTTCGACTGCGCGTATTTGGTGTTGATTCAATGAACAGAGATTCAGTCGTTAATCTTTCCCTCTCTGCCTGAATATGTAATAGTAGAACACAAGAGTATTTGGCGACGGAATTATTCATTGGCACCTGGATTTATAAACAGGCGAAATGCCTCTATCATATATTAAAAATTATAATTTGCAAATGTCTTTTACATTGTGATCAGAGCATAGAAAATTAATTACACCAAGAATTATTGACACTGTTAAATTAAATAACATAAAGAAAAAGGTTGATTATTGCAATGCATTTACTTGCATATAATCACAAAGGGGAGATAGGAAATAAGTATAAAAAGTATTGTATTTGTGACGTGTGCTACTAACAAGATTTATAAGTAGTATATAGATAAAGATACAAATAGGCATACCATAGGGAAGAGAAGAAATGAAAGATGGTCATGGAACAACACGGAAAACATGAAAGGAAGACAAAGAAGGACAATACAGAAGAAATTTGAAAATTATAATTTTCAATGCACGAAGAGGTATTTCGCCTGTCTATACATCCAGGTGTCATTGAATAAATCCGTCGCCAAATACTCTTGTGTTCTGCCATTACATATTCAGGCAGAGAGAGAGAGAAGAAGATTAATGACTGAATCTCTCTTCATCGAATCAACACCAAATACGCGCAGTCGAAATGATGCAACGTCTATACAGGATAAATGGAAAATTGCACTAAACAACATGGAGGAAGAGAGAAAAAATGTATCAAGCAAATCATGAAACCATGTGAACAAATCGATATGATTATGATAAAGTGCTTGAAACATCACCCAGTCGTTATTACTTTATCACTGTGTGCTACACCCAAATAAACTCTTGCATAGTATGGAACTATATTCTAACACAGTGCACAAATTCTGCCTTTACAAGCAGTGAGTAAACTGCGGGAATATATTAGGAACAGCAGTCAGTAAAAGTATCCGTCACTGAGTTACAACACGAATGAAAATTACATTTCAGTGACTAGATGGTAAGAGTTAAGTTGAAGAAACAGCCTCAACTAAATAAACAGTCAGCCACTTGAACAGAAAAATTACATCGCATGCGGTGATAACCTAAAGTATACAATGACGAAACTAAGACAAGTAAGCAGGTCTGAATTATGTCCTCCTTAAATCTAATTTGTGCCGACCAAATCAAGGAAAACTCAGACGCGGTGTTCAAGTGTTTTCCACTTAAAACACCGAATATATTGATTGAATAATAATAGAGGAACAGTTAGAATGCTTCACGGTTCCGCTATATCCCATTCAAAAATACTACAATTCTTTGCGTAAATAAATTAGTGACAGTAAGTCAACAAGTGAAACATCATGGTAAACAAAATGCCCTGTTTCACTTTACACAAGCAAAATACGACCATTCCGTAACATGCTAATTTTTTTCCTTCACGTTCCCAATGGAACACAGGGCCTTAAGTCAGTGGCTTGAAGTCTCTGTAGCACTGTTTAATTTTACAGGATGAGGTTGCTAGCCTCATGCTCAACCTTTCTTCTTTACCAACTTTTTATTTCTGGCTTAGCGAGGTAAAGGAGTGCGTCGACCGGGGATCGAATCCCGGATCATGTGCATGGTCGGCAAGCGTCCTAACCACTGTGCCACCGACGCATGCTAATATGAAGCCCAAATTGCCTAATGATCTGTCGTTACGGTGCTCCTCTCATGTGAGTACTGCATTACATTCAATCACAAATAAACGCTGTTGAACATTTAAACTATAATCAGAAGATTTAAATATTAATCACACAAAAATGTACCCTATTATCTGATAAAGGAGAAATAGAAAATAACCACTTCGTTAATTAAGAGTAGCAAAGCTGTGACACAGTGAAGTGAAACAGATAGCCGAAGTAAAATGAACTAGTGAAGTCATATTATGAAGTGATAAAAAAACGACTTATTAAATTACTTATCTTTCTGATGAGATGCATTGGTGACATATATGCATGATTCATCAATTTCGCCTTAAGTTGAACAATTTTTTTTCACACCTCTATAAAGTCACTTTGCTACCGCTAATCGATAAACCAACTTTTAGTGAGTAGTGGAAATCTCATATTCTGACTGACTGACTAAGTTTCAACACAGAAGTGCAACAGTTCAAATTGCCAGACTCCATGTACCACACAGGAAGTGTGTGGGCGGTTGTTACTTCCCGGCTACCCACATCGTGGAAGTTAATTAATTCTTCGGGTACCTGAAACAGAGAGAGGGTTAGTGTTGCGTGACCGCAGAGCCCAGGGGGAAAACTGCTTGAGGCCGGTCACACAGGGCCGGTATGAACTGGTTTCTGGGATTGGTTCCGTACTAGTAAACTTACCGCCGGTTACGGACCATCGTAGGGTAAGTCGGGATGTACAACTTTTGGGGTTGACCTTTTCCAACCCCTTCTCTTCAGAGTGGGAGAGACAGCAAAGCTGGCATGCTGGTCATCTTAGGGAAACACTTCACTGCCGTTACACCCCTGTTCCCCAGCAGTACGACCTCGCCCTCAGGATAATGTAAGAAAGATTCTTACAAAATGCCGGTAACTACTTTTAGTCTAATCACTATCCTAACAACCTTCCTGGCATGGTAGGACCTGCAGGAACATATGTTCCAGCCAGTGTAGCTTGTTGAGTCATCGCGACGTGCAAGCCCGACCACCACGTCAAGGTAGCAGTTATCGGTCGGGATGTACCACACAAAGATACAGAAAAGAAAAAGAGATTCAAAGAAATTCCAATAAGCAGATACGTGAAACAGAAATAATAGTAAAATGAAAAAAACGACGGTAGAGTCGATGTGGATAAACACACAGAGTGAGTGCAACTGCCCAACTGACAATTTTCACCCATACCATCAATAATCTTCAGCAGAAGAGAAACACTTGTCCTAGATATAAATATGTGTTATATGAAGTGTAACCAGAAAAACTGAACTTCCTATAGCAACAGTGTGCCAACTTGTTCAGTTATAGCGCTTAAATATTTTCTTTTATTATTCAAAAACGCTACTGAACCGAACTTTCATTAAAAAGGCTGACCAAAGTGATTCATTTTACAGAAAAATAAACAAACAAAGTTACTTAGATGGTCGAAATAACCAATACTTAAGATTATATTTGTGAGCTCTTTGTTTTAGTTACATAGTCAAGAACTGCAAAGTCACTCTATATGAATAACATCGTAGATCATGATTAAAATAAAATAACATGAAAACAACGAGAGGCGTGAGAAATTTCACAGTAATAAAAGAAACGATTTTGTGATACAAGCATCGATTTCAGGATAAAATTTCTTGGGAGCATATTAATTTACATTAAGAAGTTTATAAACGAATGTCATGGAGAAATATTATGATTCTTCTTCGCCTGTTTCCGAATTAATATTCGAGGAGTTGATAACTGATGATTCATTATCTTCATTAACCAAAGGAACAGTCTGACTGATTTCAACAGATTCCAAGCCTACTTCAGGATTTTGTTGATTACTGATGTCTACTACTGTCAATAAATCAGTACTGTCAGTAGCTGGGATTGAATCCACAACTGGCTGATCAGAAACAAGATTTTCTTCAGTTTCAAAAACACATTCACCAGAATCCATATCACGAGTTTGATTGATAGGATTACACATAATTATAGGAGGAGAATCGTTTAAAGCTGAAGGTGACGGAGTCAGAATCTGAGGACTAGTTTCCACCTGTCAAAATGAAGAAGTAAATTATTAGGTTCACAAATTTATCACATGAATAAAAAGATATACACAAAAGGTTGACCACGAATAACTATATATATATATATATATATATATATATATATATATATATATATATATATATACTGACATGTGCAGTGTGGCCCATAAAAAGATCTTCATTACTTCAAGATAAGCTTTAATCGTGTCGAAATAATGTGAACTGAGTACATTTTCATTTAAGAGTAAAGATGTAAGTATTCTAAAACCTCTACATAATATCTTAAAGTTATTCAATATTTTCTACCACAATCCCTTGTCATTCATTATTATAGGATTATGAACCTTGGATTGTGTTCGAAACGACATCCAATGACTAATACTATTTCACTATCAAACCATTCGATAGACAAAGTAATATGGACTGCATACTATCAATGTTTAGGTTCTTAAACATAAACCAGTTTCTTACCACATTTTTCAACAGAAAATTACTCGCCATTTAGAAACGCGCTTATCAAGCTTTAAAAACCAGGAAACAATTATTTTGTTCATAATCACATTCTTACTTCAGTGTAGATACAATTTGAATATCCATGAATTTTCACAGTGTACGCAATAGAATTTTAGTGGTAATTCATTTTCCAGGTAGTTGGTTAATCTCGATAGACGTTTATTACAGTTGGGTCATTGCTATTGTGTATTCACTCGAATTATGTTGGAGACACTTATTACGTCAGTTAACTAAGGCTCAAAAACACAATTTTGGATTTTATTGCATGAAATGAGGTCAGAGTTTTTAAACACTTTGTGATTACTACATACAGTTGAAAACCAAATGTGAGATATATCACCCAAGCCAGTTCAAGTGTACGAGATAAGATGGTGTCATTTAATACGGACAGACTGCTGAAATTATTACTTGTTACTTGAAAACAATGCTTTGTGGCAGATAAATGTTACACTGAATAAAGTCATCTAAAAGATGGGGTAACTGTCTCAAAAACGACCAGTACACATCAAACTGCAAAAAATTATACATTAAAAAATATGAAGGGAAAAACTTACCAATGCATCGGTGATGGGCTCTATAGTCTCTGTTAAATCTGAAGACGGAAGTCTACGTCTTTTAGCGGGACTTTCAGTCAAGTCAGCATCTCTGTCTGCTGCAACATCTGTGCCATTATTAAAGTCCGATTCTGGTGAACGTGGACGCCTAACACCAGTCACAACAGGCGAAATTGTGTCAGATGATGAAGAAACGTTTGACTCCTGTAAAGTAATTTATATATAAAGTGTTTGAGTCTTTTTATTAAATAGATGCTACTTGCCGCCTACTGTAATAATTGATCACGTACGTGGTAAGTAGATGAGGTATGATTAATTGTATCATATCACATCAAGAAATATTTCATACTTGGAAATCAAATCTGTAGATATGAGTGGTGTAAAATTTCGAAAATGATGCAAATGTGCAAGTTTTTAAGTCGTTCCGCATTAATAAATAGTAGAAATGGAAGAATAAGCGATAAATAAAAGAAAACTAAAGAAGTACTTCTTTACAATGCATACATCACAAGCCTCAACTGAAAACAGTTTTTTAAACAACTAATTATCCTACTGTTATGAGAACCACCAATGAGAGATGGAACTCAAAACGGTACATCCATTTGTTCTTTGAAATCCTAACACCAATGATAACGTCTTCATAGTTATAATTAAATGGAACATAAAATAACCCCAAAATGGCCACAGCTGTTGTGAATTGATCGCTGTCACTTCTAACTATACACATGGATCATGAGTAGTAAGAACATTAACTGAATTCGCCTTCTAAACACCTTAGTAAGTCCCGACTTACAAAGCAATTAATTTTTCCTGAATCAAAATTAACACTTCTAATTCTTCCTTAATATGTAACTGTTTGCTTTTAACCACTACACAGTGTCGCTAATATCTGTGAATGAAATTTAAACTTGCAGTGCTAAAACATTAGCACCAATACTAATGAACTCAACTGCTACATATATACTTTATGCTACGTATAAGAGTATTTTCTATATACCGAAACTCGTGTTAAAATTGACTTATAGAGCTCCACCAAAGAGTGCCTTAAAATACCTGGTTTTGGTTGTATATAACAAATATATGCCTCCTGATTGGCTTCATGTAACCTGAGTGGGAACTATTTAGAAGACAAAACATAAGTTCCTCAGAATTTCATTGTTAGTTTCTAAGAATTTTTTCAGCGTAGGTACGGTAATAATGGACGAACGTGAAAGCATACTACTGAACTGCATCACTATTTGTTCAGTCCGCTAGTCAAGAATAGGTAGTACTTGACGGCAAGTCTAAACAGTCTTTACTTGTCGAAATACTGACAAATATGCATACATCTATAATTCTATCAAAGTTGTCATCCCGTTTCAAAAAGTAAGACGGATAATTATATTCCACCTGCCATATCACTCTGTTACCAATGGGCATCTACATACCACTTAAATGTAGGTTAGTAATTTAATAAAATTAGGAAACACAGAGTGATACCCTTTTGGACAAAGTTCATAACAGAATGCAAAGTATTCGGGACATGAGGAGAACACTTCGTAAGTTTGATTTGAGATTCGCCTGTCAAATCCAAGATGATGATGCTGGACTGAACCGTGCCGACTCTTGGGTCATAGAGAGTGAAGTGGTAGAGCATATTGAAAACTTCATTTATACGCGGAGTTGCATCAACCCTAATGGAATGTTTGTTGACGAAACCTCAGCACGAATACAAAAGCTTGTGTGGCATTTACCAAACAACGTCATCTCTAAAGTAGATGATATTCGAGTGTCGGTGAAACGAGGTGTGCACTGAACAGCAGTTCGCTCTGTCATACTTTGTGGTTGTCAGACATGGCCACTAACAGTGGAAGACATGAAGAGATTAACTGTCTTTGACCACGGATGTTCGCATTCTATCTCCCGCGTTAATTGGTATAATATGGTATTTAATATTGAGGTTAGGTGCATAGTATTAAGTAAGAAGGGCGAGTATATCGGTGAGGTTGTGTGGCTACATCAATTAAGGTGGCTAGGACATGTTGCCCATGGTTAGTAATCGCCTTTCTCGACAGGCAATGTTAGGAATGATCGAATCAGAGCAGCGTCAATCCGTAACGTCTTTGAAAATTGGTTTGATGCACGTAGGGGAATGTAGGCTGCTTGTTTGGGGTCTTCTGGATTCTAAGAACCAATGACTTGGGAATTTTGATGAAGTTTTTAATGGTGTAGACACATTTAGTCTTTGTAATCTACTATATCCATTGAGTCCTCATCTTTCTGCATTTTACTATTCTAACCACCACCACCCCAACGTACATTTTCACTAATTACATTTCTTTTGAACTTATTTCTCTACCCTTCTGTGCTGCAAGTTGAAATGATGTATTTTCGTGTAAAGCTTTACATTGAAACTCAGTCATAATCAGCCTGCAATTGTTTTACTTTTTAATATTATTCAAAAGTGAGCAGGTGTTGTGATTAGTTTCTAGAAGTCGATGCGATTCCCGAAAATGACCGCAATGACCTAGAATAGAATAGAACGATTATGTAGTCATGTTCGGACTACTTTGACGTGTGTTAGTCTCTATTCTACAAAAAAAATATTTGAACATGAAGTGATTTAGTTAAATGGGGTGACAAAGGTTTCAAAGTCTTGAGTTAAAAACCTCATTTTGGAGTGAAAAGAACTTACAATCTCAGTTCCATTCAGCACACTTCAGACCAGTTAAGTAACGTCTGATGGCTCGATGACCCTGCCCAAACTACAGTAACTTCACAGTTAAGTAATTCTTAAATTTCCTCTTAAAAACACAAAATAGCACCAAAGTTTAATTTACTTGTTGATGTGTTTCATCCCCAGGTGCAGGAGAATTCAACTGAACACATGGATCAATCGCACATTTTGGAGAGCCACTGTGAGGAGACGAAGTTACCGAGCTGGAAACTTCAGAATTTAAATTTTGCACAAACGCTTCCAGTTGACCGATAGGCCTCAAAATTTGACTAGCAGGTGAATTATTTTCAATGCTCGATGTTTCCAGCTACAAATTTTAAGGAAAAATAAAATTCATTACGTATAACAGAAAAGGTGAGATCACATATAACATAAGCAAACAATATGAACGAATCCCTAACCATGGAAATAAGGACAAAGAGTTCAGCAAAGTCACTTGAAGCGATTTCATTCACTTACGTGTACAATAGCAATTACATATAATCTATGTGCACAATCAGCTTATCAAAGAGATAAAAAACAAATTAACTTGAAATAGTCTACAACAAAGTATTTAGGAATGGTGGAAATTAATCAAAGTGTAACCAAGTGTCAAGATTAGTGAGTTCAGTTCAGAGATTCTGTCTGTCTGTTTTCGACATAGAACTCTGCACAAATGTGCGGAAGTTCAAGTCGCCACACTCCGTGTAGCACGCGAAGCAAGAGAAGAAAGTACAAGAAAAGCATAATAGAGACAGTTAGCAGAGGTGTGAGACAAAGGAGTAATAACGAAGAACAAAACAGTTTCATTGGAAATCATAAGTCACAAGGAGTGGATGCATCTGCGCCACTGAGAACGATTTTGAGCCATGTCACCAATTGTTTCCAACCATAGATTTTTACCGTCCCGAGGACCCCAGCCTGGAAGTCTACACCTTCCTACATGGCTTAGACCAACTGTTGTGGATTTCATTGACTGGTGCCAAGTTTTTGTTTGACCGCCGCTAGCTTTTTTCCAGCCTGACCCTATATCCGCTAACATTGCTCGTCGAGGGAGGCGATGGCTTGGCATACGTAACACATGTCCTAACCATCTCAGTCTTTGTAGCTTCACGACTTCGTCGATTGATTTCCCCTGTTTACCTAGAACTCTACGCCTAACCTCAATGTTGCTCACCTTATTATGCCACTTTACACGGGAAATAGAACGCAGGCACCTATGATCAAAGACAGCTAGTCTTTTCATGTCTTCCACTCTCAGTGGCCAGGTCTCACAGCCATAAAGGAGGACGGAGCGGACTGATGAGCAGTACACCCGCCCTTTGGTCGATAGTCGAACATCTCGTCTACGCCAGAGTCGGCGTAAACTGGCAAATGCGAAACGAGCCCCTTGTATTCGTGCTGAGATTTCGTCAGAGATCAACCCGTTGGGGCTGATGGTACTTCCCAAATAAGTGAAGCGGTCAACGTGCTCTACCACTTCACTTCCTATTTTTAAACTAGGCGTCGATGTAGTCCAGTCCTGTAACATCATCTTGCATTTGGCGGGAGCGAATCGCATGCCAAACATTCGTAGATTACGGCTCAAGGTGTTTAGAAGACTCTGCATTTCGTCAGCGTCTTCGCCTAGAAGGACTATATCGTCTGCATATTCCAAGTCAACGAGATTATTCCCCGGTAGCAAGTCAATCCCTGAGTCGCTGAAGTCACTTAGGGTTAAGTCCATTAACACATCTATGATGAAGTTGAATAGAAAAGGGGATAATGGGCATCCTTGACGGACACCACTGGTCGTCACCAGTTCAGATGACAGCTCGCCGTAAGCCCTCACCTGGCTGTATGAGTACGAGTAGAGTGCCTTAATCAGTGCAATATATTTTCTCGGAATTCCCTTTACAGCCAAGCATCTCCAGAGAACTTCTCGATCGACAGAGTCGAATGCTGCCTTTAGGTCAAGAAATATAATGACTGTTGGACGCCGGTAGGAATGCCTATGTTCTAGAATCTGTCGGAGGGTGAAGATATGATCAATACACCCTCTTCCTGGTCTAAAGCCTGCCTGGCTCTCTCGTGTTTGTGCCTCCCGAGCACCACTCAGTCTACGCATGATTATTGAGCCTAAGACTTTAGATACTATATTAGTCAAGCTAATCCCTCTGTGATTATCACAGGAAGACTTGTCTCCCTTCTTGTATATGGGGATAATCAGTGACTTACACCAACCCGATGGGACTTCTTCTGATTCCCAGACGCTGCCTAGTACCTCAGTTAATGCAGACAGTAAACTGTCTCCACCGTACTTAAATACCTCTGGAGTCATTCCATCAGGTCCCGCTGCTTTGCCTAGTTTCAGATTGGTGACAGCTTTAGTAACCTCAGTTAGGGATGGAGGACCTGTGTCTATATCCCATTCAGGGAGGTGTTGGATGTTCGGAAGGTTGAGCGTGGCTGTGGGCCAATTAAACTGCTCCTCATAATGCTCTTTCCAGCGATCCAGTCGTCTATCCTGGGAGCTAATTATAGTGCCATTTTTCTCCGAGATTGTTTCACTAATGATTTGTCTTCTCCCACCCGTTTCCCTGATGAGTCTAAATAGTTGTCTGGTGTTGCCTATCCTCGAAGCTTTCTCCATCTCTTTGGCTTTTGTCACCCACCACTGTTCACGGTCCTTGCGGAGACTTTTCGTAAGTTTCCTCTTGTGCAGCTTTCGCTCCTCATTGAATTCGGAGCTCGCCGGAATAAGTCTTCTAGCATCTATCAGTTCGGATGAGGCGGTGGAGATCCAGTGGTTTTTACTCACCTTTGGGTTTAACTTATTCACAGCTTTTACAGCTGTATCTATGGCTGCCTGGATATTCTTCCAAGCTTCTTCAGGGTGAGCACAGCTGTCGAACACAGATATGTGTTTAGCTAGTTCTTCCTCAAATACGGATTTAGTTTCCTGATCGAGCTGGGGACGTGATGGTTTTACCGCCAGCTGTTTCCTACGTCCGTTCAGTCGTAAGCACACCCGAGCGCGGACCAGTGCGTGGTCGGTATCTAAACACGTGTTCCAGAAGGAGCGACAATCTCCTACCGACCCACGCCAACGATAGCTTATTGCTATGTGGTCTATTTGTGTCCAGCGTTGGTTTGATGAAGGGGGTCTCCAAGTCAAATAGTGTCTCTCCTTGTGTTTGGAGTTAGTGCTTACAAGAAACAAATGATTATCAGAACAGAACTGTAGGAGACGGTCACCGTTGTCGGTTCGCTGGCACGGAACTCCATAGGTGCCACCGACATCCTTCTCAGATTGACACAATTTCCCTACTTGAGCGTTAAAGTCACCAGCTAGAACGACTATATCTGAGCGTTTAGCCTTTCGCAGCAAACTAGACAGCTTTTGGTAGAAGTCATCCTTCGTTTCATCTGAACTAAAGTCAGTGGGGGCGTAGGCGGTTGCATAATACGAGAAATGTCTACAAAATTGGGAGTTTTTAGGTGACTGAGACAAGTATCAACACATATTTCATGATAGGCAAACAAAATGAACAAAAAGCCAGCTAAGAAAATGATGTTAATAGTTATAATATCAAAAATGCAAGACAAACTATAGTAATAAGACCAAAAGATTGATAATACCTGAGTTTGGAGTTATTGCTTAGACAGAAAGAGTGAGTGGAAAAATTTTTTGAGTGCCTAAATTACGTTTTTCCATATGAATGTCTACGACCTCAGCAATGGAAACGTAATGTTTTATGGAGGCTCCTTTTGACTTTATACATAACTTTGAATGAGTTCTCCTAAGGGATTAAGTGAACAGTGTTGAATATATGTTCAGTTGTAGCACTCCATACGGACCCATTTTAACCTCTTTGTAGTCATACGGGACAATGTTTCTTGACCCCTTCAGATAGGACATGCATTGAATGATGTATTCCTGGCTCCACAAGAGCAAGTGGACCAGTAAGTAAGCAGAAGCTGTCAAATGTGACAGTTTATTTTTCAAGTTAATAAGAAACACTGGACGTCAGGAGAATACCAGCCTTAATATAGACACAAAATACGTTCTTTTTAGACTTTGACGTTCCTTTCAGTGACGACAATAAGGTCGCCTCCGAAGGCCACATTCAAATACGACAGTCACAGATTGTTTTCTATTGTTTGAATCTTGTGTATCCTTATAAAGTTTAGGGGATATCCATTTTCTGTTAGCTACCGGCTGACGAACGTCCGAAATTTGGAGCTCATAAATCGCAAAAGGAACCTGTTGATATCTCTCGCGACTCGGACCCAGGGTCGTTAGATGAAGAGGTCGCTCTTTTCAGGAAGACACTTTAAACAGATGTTAACGCTTTCCGATGAACGCATTTAAACTGAGGTTCAGTTAGACTTTTGTACTGAACAAACCAATTGTAGGCACCTATCTAAGAACTATATGAAACATATACACTAATGAATACACTTATCATAACTATACACTATCAAAATATTACTTGAACTCACCAATAATCCCTTAATAGGTAAATCGCTTTGAGCATCTGAAATTACTAGATCACTGGGGCACACCTCACCTAGCTTACTATTATACTGAGAATTTAAGTCTTCTGAAGTACAAACATTGAGATCCGGCACTCTACTTCCTTCACACCATGAAGATGAGCTATCTTGAATTTGGTTTTCAACAGCTACACATCCATGTGTTGAATCTGAAGATGATATCTCTTCGCGATTGGATTCTGTAGGTAAAGTATCTAAAGATTCAGATGACTCTGAACATAGGTTTGATGCAGCGGATGATAAGTGAGGGGCGATGACTTGTGAATCAGAACTGGTAGGTTTGTTTTCTGACGAACGAATCGATTGTTCGCAATCATCATCATCATCGTCGTCATCGTCGTTATTCGAGTACACGGACATGAGACTACCACACAATCCCTAAATGAGAAACAAATTTTTGTAATATTTCTTAAAATGTAAGCTATACTCTAAATTCTTTGAGCTAAATGGAATTTATATCACTTTAAAAATTAGAATATCAGTATTCATAAGAAAGTTGACTGCTGATTCCTTTCAAAAAGTAGTTAAAATGTCGAAATCCGAATATCTATCATTAATTGTTTGTGCATAATAACACAAAGCTTCAATTGATGCAAGGAATATTTACCAATAAAAATGTTTCTTTTCTATGCTATGCCAACCTTGAATTTTAATGCAACCAACTATAAGTCCTAGTATCAACTAACCAAATTACTTAACCGAAAACACTAAATCGGAGTGTTAAGCAGGAGTTTCAAGGCACGTGTCTATCATCTTAAATAAGAGAACAGCTTGCGTGATTATCAACTGAGATGAGTTGCAGACTGAACAATAAGTACCATCTTAGGGAGATTTCTTTCCTTGCATTAACGTTTGATAGTAGTTATACAACCTAGTAATAATGTTTGCTCAAACCTAAATTTACATAAAACATGCTGCGAGGGGCTGATGAATGAAGTTGAAAGAAAAGTTGAACCCAATGATGAAAGGGTTACTCACTCATAGTACTACTGATTATCTATGATGAAATAATTTAGCAGTTCCAGAGATTAAAATGAACACTAAATCCAGGTAAAACTTTTGGCAATAACGTTTAACAGAGAAGTCCTGATAATTAAAATAACCTGAGAATATTCAAAAGGCAAACTTACAGTTAGTAAGGGAGTATTTGTTAACGACTGGTCCGTCAGCCTTGCCTTGGGAGCGGATGCATTACGGAATGGCATCGGTGGGGTGTTTGGAAGATTCAGAGCATTTTGTGCTTTGAATAACCAAGAACTTGCACAAGAGTTATTCATTAGTGAAGTTGACTTTAGGTTGTGATCAGTTTTTGGCGACTGTCGTCCATCACTTGCATCACTGCTATTATCCTCACCCTCATCATCATCCTCTTCTTCAGTGCCCTCTTCATCCGAAGATTTAGAAGCATTGTGCATCCGAATATTTTCAGTCGATGGAGAGTTGGGTGGTGAGATAGTAGGACCATCCATCAATAGTCCACACTCATCTAAACCAGCCCGACTCGGGAACCGAGGGTCTTCTTGATGAATTTTACTGGAAAACATCATTAATATTTACTGAGAAACACGCTTCATATCCACCATTAATTGTTAATTTTACAAATCCTACTTAGAGAGTGAAAAATATCATGATTGGGATTCAGTCATTTCGTTTCGACACCAAAGCTTTTCCACTATCAATCAACACTTGTCAAAATTTGTCGTTCTATCCACGCTGAAGACATTACAAATCACCTATTCCGCAGATACTTGATGGCAATGCTCGAAAGGCGGATTTTTCTTGTCCAGGAGTTTGCAAAGTAAAACCACTTGGAAAACTAAATTTGGAAGTTGTGAGTAGTAAATTATGAGTAATGGTATCTCAATGTGACGCACCTAACAACCAAAATTGAGATTAGACTACAACAGAGGCTAACGTATATACTCTGACAATATATGGAAACGCCAATTTGTGAAAAATGTAATCGACATATTCGCTAAAACTATTAAAGCCCGAGAAGAAACATTATCTGTGCAATAATCATGAATACGTAAGAGCGATATAAACACTCATGCAACAGTGACTAACAAGGCCAGAGCCGAAATTTCAACGCCGAGCTACAGTTTAAGACTTACCTTTACGCACTTCACCGCTCTAAATCTCACATATTACCATTCACTGGGATAAGTTCTATCCAAAAGATACTTGCAAGGAACCAATGTAGCTAACACTAGTTTTTCACAAACCCTATTCCCAACTTAGAAGGTACACATTACTTCAGACTAAGCAAAATATGTCGAAAATTTACTTACTTTCCGTGAGGATCGACCGTAGATACCACCATGCAAACCTAGGACCAGTGAGTTAGATAAATCACGTTACCTTTTCTAATCCACGAAGAAATTTATCAACCCTTTTATAATGTCGAGTAGGACTGTCGAAAAGCTCACATATCCTTTGAATAGTAAAAGGTATGCTAAGCCAATAACTTTTGAAAAGGCAAACTACCCATCAAGTTTTTTCAGAGTACTGAATACGCGTTGTCTAAGTTCAGATAGATGAGGTGGAGTGATTACTGGTGAATAATCCATTCCACTTCCTTCAGAAATGAACGAGTCGACCACTTTATTGTACTTGTGCAGAAGTAAGGGTTTGACATAAATCCATGGTATCCTGAGGCCATCATTAAGAAATAGTCATACTTACCTTGTTTGTCCATTTTTCGATATTTGTTTTATGTACTCTTCAAGTATTGGAGGAATAACTGACGGTTTATCCTGTTCAAAACCTGACGTATGTTAATGTAAAACAAAGCATAGGAAGCGTACATTTAAGGGCACAAAGAATACTTTCACCATTTTCCATCGGGAGGAGCGTCATGTGTCACAATACGCGCGCTACTGGTTGTTATTTGAATTCAAGCATTGAAAATTACTATCCAAATAAAACAGGAAGTCGTATAACTTCAGTGTGATATGTTGCAGATTTTAGTTGGAGAAGCACATAAAATATTAGAACGGTATAAAATTTTAATTATTTTCAGTGACTTTAGTGGCTAATTGTTAGGAGAATATCAACAACAAAACCTATTGAGGTGCGTTATGCCAGGGACTTTGACTACACTCGCATCACTTTTCGAAATATTCCTAAGTGTTTCTGGAGTTGCTTTCGATATAATATGACATGCATTTACAACAGCTTATATTATCTACCATGGGTTTATGCCTGTGGAATTTTTTCTCAAAATTTCAGGATATTTTCATGAATACGCACAACCACATATAATGAACTGCAGGCAACCCACAACATTTTTGAAATCTGCAAATAATTTTTATCCTTAGGTCTGAATTTTGTAGAAAGGCAATGAATGAACACATTAAAGTAGCTGAATTACTCTATTCAGCATTGGTTGTCACCAGCATCTTGTTCGACCTTCATAAACCCAATATTCCTGTCATAATTTGACCTGTTTCTCGATGATATGATGGTCTTGCCTATCAATCACTGTGTGTTTATTGTATCTGCGTTCGAACTCGACCATATCATATATCTTATCAGTGAATGAGTATAATTACCACGTCGCTTCGATCCTCCTAACCACTTAACTTTCATGTTTAAGGCTGTCCTCATGCTTCTCTTATGAAGAAGCTAAGTTCTGTTTGTGTCAGAGTCGCTAACAAAATGCTAGGCAAAACTCTGCAACCATGAGTTTGACTGAAAACATTACAGGAAACTTTCCAAACGACGTAAATGATCTAGAGACGTAAGGAAGAATTAATCAGAGTCATTCCTCTTGCTCACTGACGAAGAATGCAGAGTGGCTTTATTGCATATCCCCGCTAATTGTAGCGTTAATGCCCTCTGCTATGTTGGTTTAGTGACAAGTTATGTTCTATATGCTTTCTAAATGAAATTTCACATTTAAAAAACATTTCTGGCCTACATAATATTGGCAGCATAATGTACTTGAACTGCGTTAGGTTTACAGCACTTGTATCAAGAAATGTCGCTTTGAACTGATATCGGAGGAATGTGATGGATTAAGTATCGCAGGGAGTTCAAAATTTAAACGTGTTTTTTAAATTTCGGGAAATCCTATTGGTATATTCGGCCTATTTATTGAGACGCTATTGTTTAAGTTTGTTTGGTAGTCGCCGGTATCCATTGATAAGTTTCAGCATTAATTTCAGTTTTCATGTACTCATCACTTTTAAGAAAAACTCATTACCACTATTATCATAAAGTGTAGCATTGTTTTGAGCTTGTGTTTCAAGTGGCCTTAATTTTTAGTGAAGTTTTAATCGCTAAAATATTCCGATTTCATTGACGTGACCTGGGCTTATACGTTAAAGAAACTTTATACGTTATTTGGAATAAAGACAAGGTGTTTAGAAGGTGATTAAGACTTTATTTTTTAGTTTGTTCGTATAAATACTATTGCGCATCGAGTTGCATTGCGTTTTCACATGAAGAAAGAAATTATGAACGCTTCGTCCTCTCTTCTGCATAAATAACACTGGAATTACTTCACAAGACTCTCCCTATTAGGTTAAGTAAGGACAAATAGAAGTTTTCCCACTTCACTGCTATGAGTTAATTTGTGAACTGTGCAGGCTGTTACAATATTTGCTCTCGAATGACTTAATATCCCCTTTCCAATACGGTTTCCTAAATAGAAGATCGTGCATTACGTGCCAGTTAGATTATTTCGACCACATTACTGAATGTGTAGACAAAGGTCGTTCGGCAGCAACATTATTTCTAGATGTTAGGAAAGCTTTTGATAAAGTCCCACATAAAAGACTCATATTGAAACTCCTATCTTATGGAATAAGTGGAAGGCTTCTTGAGTGGATAACTTCCTTTCTTACAGGAAGAGAACAGTTAGTTAAAGTCAACCATCACTTATCAACATCCAAACCGATAACCAGCGGCGTGATACAAGGTAGTGTTCTTGGCCCTACCCTATTCATTGTATTCATAAATGATATTGTCTCTATGATCAAGTATGGCAAGCCATACCTCTTTGCAGATGACCTCAAAGTTGTCTATGATTTTGACTATAATGATATAAATATTGTTAGTAAAATCCAAGAAGACCTAAATAGTCTATGTAATTGGAGTGAAAAGTGGCAGTTAACGTTCAACCCAGCTAAATCTGGGATAACATACTTCGGACGTTGGAAACCTAGCATGTGTCTATACATGTACGGTGACCTTGTCTCAAACACAAACACAGTCACAGATCTCGGGATAACATACTCAGATCTTACCTTTACTGAACATGCAAATAAGGTGGTATCTGATTGTAAACGTCTAACCGGCTTTGTGCTACGCAACTTTTACACTCCAGAAGCCAGATTAGCCATATATAAGATATGCATTCGCCCCAAACTTGAATACTGTGCCCACTTATACAGTAGCTTCAAGTCGGCAGACAGAAAAAAGTTGAAAGTGTCCAAAGATTCCTTACGAAACGCATATTAGGCTATGGTCAGCAAATAGAATACCTTGACAGATGTATTCGACTGGACTTAGAGCCCTTATGGTTAAGGAGAGTGAAGTGCAATTTATTTCTCTTATTCAAAGTTATAAGAAAGCACTGTAACAGTAACTCGTCCATAACCTGGGCAAATCCTAAATCGTATGGACTACGCAACCACAACTACCTTCTCAAGGTTAACACCCATAAACTCACCACTAGAGCTAACTTCTTCTCCATTAAATATTGCAAACTTTGGAACCAACTACCCTCTGAGATAAGATCCTGTGAAAGGCCTGACAGTTTCAAAAGGAGCCTAGAAAAACATATAAACATGTCCACCCTAGCCCGCCTCAAGGATCTCAACTGCTGGTAGAGTGGAGAGACAATGGCTTTTCAATATTTAACTACGGAAAGTACACTAGTCCCAATACAAATATAATAACACTTAGTAATTATGTAGGTTCAATACTTGAAATTCGATTGTCATTAAAATACTTAAAATGATTAAAATAGCTATGCGGCAAGTGTTCTCTTGCTTTACCATGCTTGTTTCCCTTATAACACTCAGTTATTGAGCCTAATGTATTCTTTGGTAATACGAATTATGACACTGACTATGCTCTTATTATACATAGATTGATTTACTTTACGACTACCTGTAGTACTAACTACCCTTCTGTAGTATTGTTAAACAAATGCTGAAATTTTGTTGGTTCTGTTAATATCTTTTTATAATATGTTTAGACACGTTACTTTGCAATGTCAGATGTCTACTATATACAAGACTGTCATGATAATTTAGTACACTAAGTCCTGCCAACCGACCTTACCTTCAGTTCATACTACCTACATTGATCCCTAACTATATTGTTCTGCTGAATCTTGCTTCACTATTCACAAAACCTATTCTTTTTATTCTTTAAGGTTCTAACTTCTTGTAAAGTAATCTGTTCATTAGGACACATGCATACATATATAATGTTCATAAAGATGTACGCGGAGACCTATTGGAAGCACTCATTAAGAAAGCTAAGGAGACGGAATATGGAGTACGAACATGTCTGGTACCAAGCAATATATTTGCTGTGGGCATAATAATCATAGTCTCAGAGCTTAACATCAAAAAAGGAGGGAGGGTGGCGTTAGCTGATCAGTAGATATGGTGGGGGTCACTAAGGTGAATCGCCCCATTCTGCAGGAACAGCAATATAAAAATTAAAGGCTCGAGATATTTCTGATTTTTATGAGGGCTTAGATCTTTATCTTGAAAAAGATAATAATGAACGCCTTGACAGTTCATGCTTCTACCTTTAAATATATACCATTCGCTCAGCCTATTGTTGAGATGCGACCACATGGGCTCTGCACAGATTTATGGGGCATCTTGTAAATTAACTTGCTATCCATCGTCAGATCTTTAAATACCACTTCACAATATCTTGTCTCACTTATTTTCTAATAACGTCTTTACTTGATTCTCATTATATTCCATTAAACCTAACATTCTACAGCTCTTTATGACTTATTATATTCCTACTCTCTGAAGGGTACGGTTGTACATTAAATGCACAAAAAGGTATAAAACAAAAAAAACTGGCACAACTGAGGATAAATGTATTAGAGCCAAAAGTGGACATCATGATAGTACGTGATATACGTGTAGCATTATACATTGCAAATGAACGTTGTCAGCCTAGGGAGTTTTCTTTTTTAATGCATTTATTAATGATACTTGCACTTACCTATTTCATTACAATTTAATGATTCACCTCAGCACTTTAAATTTTCTAAAGCAGCTTTCAATCCCTTGTAAACGTTGTACTTACCTCAATATTGGTTGGTTATCGTATGCCGACAACCACGGGATGAAAACGAAACGAAGTCGATTTTCCCGCGAAACCTGGAGGACAATTGTACAATTCAATAACTATACAGCCTAGTTCAGACAATGTGTATTTATATATATATCAAATATTAAACTGTTGAAACATTATTAACTTGTAGACAATCTACGATTTGATATTATATCATAATTGATCGTGCCTGTAAAAATGGCATGCATTTTCATGTAAATTTATATGTTTATATGAGAATATATATTATTATTATTATTATAATACACTTGGCAAATGAACTTGGTTTTGAAATCAAAAATGTGCGTATTTTACTAAATCACATCCACTCCCTGTATAAATTTTATAATTGTCATTTAACAACCGCTAAGTGTTGCAATCAAGCTAAAATTATAACTAGTGATTCCGAGAATTGTTGTCATTTTCAGTGGCTGTCAATCACGTCTCAAAACCGCTAATGCCCAGCTCTTGCTACGCCAGGCCTCTCGCTGTCCCTCGAAGCCTTTCAGAAACGCTTAGAACCAACGGACGCAAAAACCAAA